TTTGGGTGGAAAATTGATTAGGACAATTTGCTGGTAGACTTGTTTTGGCAAAAAAAAATGCGCGAATTACACATGACAATTTGCATTCATCTTCCTGGATATTTTGACTGTTAAGTTATTGTGAGTCATGAGTGAAATATGTCGTCTGAAATTGGTGGAAAAATTTCCAGGATTCTTCAAAAAATCTCTGCACAATTTTAATAGAATGAATAGCGAAAACCTTCATAGAAATGATCTCAAATGCGTTGAGCTTTGCGTACAAATGTCTTTGGCAACATTATTTTTTGCACTTTATTAGATAACTTTAAGTACTGCCGGTTAAGATTGTGATCAGTTGAATGTGTTTCTGGTCATTTTCTCTTTCTCTTATTGGGAATTTTTTCTTAAACTCTCATTCACAGCGCTTAAGAAATGATTAAAACTCAGATTCTCTTAGCAAATTCATTGCCATCTCAGTCACAAGCGCAGAGAAATGTTGTGAGAAATAAGAGTGACAATATGGAGGCGGTACGAAAATATTAATATTGTACAATGTCGCGAATTATATTCAATTGAAATCTCCGCGCCTGAAGAATAGCTGGAATTATTATGTGTGGAATGTACATAAAGTGTTGCGTAATTTCGCATGATGAAGAGAGACAGAGAGAGAGAGAAACACCCAGCTGAGGAATTGCATTTAATAATCTCTTTTGTCACTTCAATCCATTTTGTGGTCTATTATTTTGTCGAGTTGTGAATGGGAATTACAAGAATTATGCAGTACGGCGAAGAGTGCGCGCGAGTGAGAGACAATTTTCCTTGACCATGAAAAATTGTGTAAATTGAGGTTCGTAATGTGTGATGGAATTAAATCATGAAATTACAATGATTGGCATTTCTCTTTGGAAATGGAATAAAGAGAGACATAAGAGGTGTGCGCATATATGATTGGAGTGACTGTGCAATTTGAGAGACATTTTGCGCTGAGTTGAATGAATTTTCATTATAATGCGTGAAATATTGAGGAGAAGAAGAGATGAAATTTTTCTTCAGATGGACAATTTTTGCTGTGAAAATATATTTACACTGTATGAAATGATTGTGTATTTGGTGAAAATTATGATTATATCGCACAAGAGTAAACACACTTGAGCTTGTGACAATCACTCATGCGATCGCACATGAACGGGTGTGACTTGGATTTTACTATATTTGCCATCGCAATTGATCATTTCGCCTGTTGTGTTGTGTACATATGGCGAGTGCGGTTTGCGAGGCGGCAGGGGAGAAAGAGAAATTGAAGAAATTTCAAGAATGTCTCTCCATAATAGTGGGCATTTTATGTATATTCACTTGCCCATTTTCAAATAATCACGCATGGTATGCCAATGGGATATTGAGTGAGAGAGAGAAAAAGCTGTGTAGAAACCAAAGGGGGAGATAATATGTCTTAAATTTGAACGACACTTCCACCACTTGAAATTTCTAGACTATCTGAACAATAATTCTCAAATTATGATCAATCTCTTAGGTTTCCATTAGATATTTCTGCAAGAATCCACTTAAAAATGCATATTTGAGTGTCTTTTTTGAACATAACCTCAAAATAACACTGAGGGATCTTTAAACTCTCCGTTTGGAGAAGCTGACGGAAACGGCCTTATTAACTCAGACTCCTTTTCTTCTCCATAGCATGCTAACACCAGCACAATCTTCTTTCTTATTGACATTTCTATGTCTCGATGGGAAGATATGTAGAGCCTCCAATGTTTTCAGTTCTTACCTATTGTGGAAGCTTTCTAGATCACAAAAACATCTCTTAAGATTTGTCAATGAACTTAATATTGCTGACTCAGAGTCAAAATCGTCCAGGAAGTTTTCTAAATAAACATTTCTCAAGTTTAAATCAATATTTTGAGGTTATGTTCGTCATGAACTTAGTTTGCAGTGTTTCTTTGCGTCAGAGTCTCAAGAAAAGCAATGTTTACTGCATGTAAATGTTTAATTGGAATTGAATATAAAAATTATTGTGCTAGAGTGCGAATTATTCACTAATTTATCCATTGATTGTGTTACATAACCTAGAAAATTTCAATTTTGATATTTTGTACATGAAAATCGTGAGGAATCCAAAGAATTCTCATCTGTGCGGCACTTCTGACTGCACTATCTCCCCCTTGCTTTTGACCAGCCAAGAGGCCGAAGGCTTTGCCAGACTGCTTGAGAGTCTCTGTTGGGCAAAGAAGTTCACACCGATCAATCGATTGCAGCACACAACTCTCACCATCTCTTGGGCGGCCAAACGAGCACTGCTGGCTATAAAAATGAGTATCACAAAGTGATTTTCTCACAAGACATTTTATGCTATATTAAATTTCTTTGATGTGGTTCTCCACGGACACAGAGTGTGAAGTTTTCTGCATTGATTATGTGTATGTCTATAATAATGTATTTTCTACTTTTGTGGCCGATTACCTTTGTTGATAATAAAAGTTTTGTGTCTTAAAAGAGAGCCACTTAAGTGACCGCGGCGCGCACCATTTGGGAAAGTTTTCAGATAGACTCAATCGAGAGGAGTTGGAATTAATGGAATCTCCTGCAAAAGATCCATTTATGAGTTGGGGTTTTTGTGTGTCTTTGTGGTGGATTGGTAAGGAGAGCCAAAATTCGACAGACTGTGCACGTGGCTTCCGGTTACCAAAGTGCTCACGTCATCGAAATGTGACTCTATTTACCATCCGTTTATTCCTCAGTCTTCGCTTCAAGAAAGATGAATAGCATTCTCTCCTATTGACTCCGGGCCATTGTAATTTAATAAGGCGCACACACAGTGCTGGCAAAGGGGTCAAAGACACATGCGGAAGAAGAGTCGCGCACAGATTGGCCTTTTATGGGGTGGAAGTCATGGGCTTTGATTGATTTTATATCCACCGTCATTCGCGAGTGTGTTTTGGTGGGGGTGAAATGGGCCTGAGAAGTCCATTGACTGGCCTTTACGAGTCTTTCTCACTCAAAAAAAACCACTTCTATTCTTGCAAAAATTTATGCTAAAAGCGACACAATCATATTTTTTATTCCACTCTGCCTTAACTGTTTCGGTGAAAGAGCGGCGCAGACTGTAATTGCCATGTAGGGAGGAAATAACGTGGGCCCCAATATAATGTGCCTCGAAATAGAGACACTAAGCATGGGTGTTTTATCTGTGAAAATTTCTTCTTCTCATTAACTTGTGCGGGAGTGCTTTTGCCGCACCGTGTCGCATGTCTTGGCGGAGCAACATAACTCACCTCAATTGTCTTCTGTGTGTCTCACTCAAATGCCGCATCCATTCATCTTTTCGTGTCGTCTCACGAAATCTCCCGCCAATTGAGATACATTTGATTCCCATTGATTTTATCCAATTGCCGGTGAATTTTCCACTGTGTGACCGGGAACGGATGGCGAGAGAGTTATTAGAATTAATTGTTGGCACTATTAAAGTCAGGAAGTTTTAATGATTGACTGTTTATGGTTTTTTAATGCGTCTTTTGACGCGCATTTTAACACCAATTGGCAAATGTGAGGGATTTTATACGCAATAGTAATTATCTTTGCCAATTTCTAATGAAAATCATCCTTATGATAGGCTTTAATATCCTCAAATTTATCTTGATTTCACTTTAAACTTAAGTGTTAACTTATTTCTTGTTTCTTTGAACTTATCGACAATGAAATTTAACCATGTTCTAACACAATTTTAGGGGGGAAAAAAGTTAAAATCAACTGTTCAAAAACTAATAAGTCCTATTTTTGCTTCCAAATTGTGTTAAAAAGTGAAATTAGACCAAATTCCTATCGATAAGTATCGATAAGTATCGATAAGTGTCGAAACCTTAGAAGAAGATTGAAAAGCAGTACTTTTGACGGTGAATTCAGTGATTTCAACATACAAAACTGCGACATCAGTGCCTGGTCAGCCCTTGAATGCTTTCTTTTATCGCACCTGTTGAGACTGAGAAGAGGACAGTTTCCTCTCGCTATTCAAATTGTTGTTTCGCTGCATTTCTGTTTCCACTTTTCCCGCCTTATGCAACTGGCTCAAGTCAATCGACAATTAAGTACGCTCTTCCCATCTCTAATCACATGGCAGTTTCTCAGGAGGTGATGCAGAGTGATTGGCGCACCGAAAAATCCGTGTCTTTATCCCAATATTATGGCTGTTTTTCAATGGGGGCGCCTCGTACAAGTGAAATTAATGTCGAGGTTCCGCTTCATTGGAGTGATTGATGAATTATTGTAAAGCTATTACACACTACTTTGTACAGAGAGGCGCAGAGCGAGTGAGGGAGAGAGAGAGAGAGATCTAAGAGTGGAATTACTGGGTTGATGGTGTGTCCCAAGAGTGAAAATACATATCCATTAATCTCTCCCTACTGTGCTGGAAGAATGCTTGCAATTGTGCAGTTGAAACTATGTGAAACACGGTTTATGAGTGGCGCGCGATGAGGAAATTCATCCACTTGTGAATGTCTGACATTATTATATTGCTATGCTTGTATATTTTGGCATGCTGAGGGATTCCTGAATGTGGATTTCTCGTGGTGTGTTTTGGAGTTGACACGTGGTGTAATTGTCGAAATTTTAATATATAAGAAAAGGCAATCATCTTCACACGACAGCCATTCGATCTTATGTGGAATTTGAGGGATTTCCATTTATAGTATGAAGACAGAGACGAGTGAACAGGCTGTAATCAACAGATGATTGTTCAAAGTTTCATTGGACTTGTGTGCCTTTATCAGGGGACTTCGCGAGAGTCGTGAGACAAGAGCGCCTAAGAGTTTATATATATAGCGAAAGTGGGGGAACTTGATACATAAACAATACACACAATCTTATCACACCTTTTATAAATATCAAATGAATTCCCCAATAATCTTCCCATATTCAGAGATATGGTGGAAAATATGAGGGGAAGAAAAAACTTTTGCGCGGTCGCGCATTCCTTAGATATTGACTCTGAGCAGTTGGAAAAAGGTGGTCTTGGCAATTAAAAGAGTTTCATGTGTCGCCTGGACAACAGGCTGATGTTTGATTGTCGGGCGGAAAGTTGTGTGTGATTATAAGATACATCCAGAGAGTTATGTGAATATAGAAGTGAAAAAAAAAGAATTGTTATTCCACCTGTGAATGTGTGAATAGTTGTTGAAGTTTTCATGGTCAATAGTCATCATCATCATTACATATTTTTCCATCCACTTGAATTTTATATGTCACAATTTTCCACCTCATTTTCCACCATCGAAACTGTGCGCGTGCTTTGGAAGTGCAAAGAAGTGGAGAAAAAAAAAGAATTTTGCAAGACTGAAAAAAGGAGCGAAAAGAGTGATTTTTTTCCAATAAACACACACAGAAATTTCATACTCAATCAATTTTAATTACTCAGCGTGAGTTGTTTTATTAATTCTTTTGTGTTTGCCTTTTACATTCCTGCAATTGAGAATGATTTTATTTATAATACAGTGAGATGCGAATAAATTGTGAAATATTGATATGAATTTGTGAATTCATTCGTTTGCTTTTCACAACACTTTCGTTCTCGACTGTAGAATTTTATTTTCTTCATATCTGATTGTTTCAAGATCAACAGAATTTCCATCCAATCGCTTTGAGTTTCAATGAAAAAAAACACACACACATTTTGATGTAATGCTTTCCATATAGAATTCACAGCGATTCTTCATTAGAATTCCAACATTTTCATATTTGCACACATTACAATTGAACTCGTGCCACGTGAGTAATAATCATAATTGCGCCACACGCTTTAATGCCATCATCTGAGAGGAGAATTAAGTGACTTTTCTCTCTCTCTCTTCACCTTAGCGCAGTGCGTCATATCATACCTTTCTTGATGAGTCAATGCCTGATGAACGCCCAATCAGAGACAAACTTTGGGCGTAATCACAGCCTGGCAGAATGAAATTTTCAATTTCCTCCACAGTGAAGAAGTGAATTGACGGTGATTTGTGATTTCTTTCTTTCCTTCTCTCTCTCTTTGCAGAAGAAATGATGAATGGGGGCGTTAAAAATGGATTATCCACTCTCAATCGATTACTGGGGAAGAAGAACAAAGATGGTAAGCATATTTCTTCTTTTCTTTAACACACACACACACACAGAGAAAACATGGCAAATATGGACGGTTTTGCAGCTCTTTTCAGCATGTCAAAAACAAATCTTTGTGCTTCAACTGTTGCTTCTCAAGCACACAGCAAGTGATTGTGCAAGAAAAATGAATGGAAGAAAGTATATTTTGTGATGTGATCCCACTTTTGACACCAGTTTTGAGACAGAAGAAAAACAGATAGATTTATTTCTGTCATATTTAATGGTTCAAGTAGAATTTGAATAACAAATTTGTGTACTTATCATATTTCAAACGATTTATTGACATGCTGAAGTTGGATTAAACAGTCTTTTTTTGCTTTGTTCAACATAATTGAGTTCAAGAAAGTAGAATTAGATAAAAAGATGAGATTAGTTATCAAGAAAAGAACCGTGTTAGATAAATCTAAGAGTAGATAAACAAATATAGAACAGTAAATCCAGGGCTTAAAGGACTAGAAGCTCCGCCCATTTCTTCGCCCCGCCCTTAGAATATTTCATTTCTATTGTGAAGTTCTTCACTTTCGGAATAAATGTGTGTGTGAAATTGATGCATGAATTCCTTTCTAAAAAGTCAGGTGTTGAAATTTGGCAATGTTTGCCTGTCCAAAGTGACTCCACTCTCTCCTATTTCTCCAGTCATCCATTTGCTTAATCGACACTGGCCGCGAGAATGCATTTTGCAATGATTGATGATGATGCAAAAGATTGGCGGCCAGTCAATTTTCCATTGATTTCATTCACCTGAACAGTGAATCACGATTTGGCACAAAATGAGTGTTTATTGCGCGCGCACAAGAGAATTAAAAAATGTGCTAAACTTCTGAAGATTCCACACACTTTTGTGTGTCTCAATGTTGTTTTTCTTTTGTGGGTGCAAATAAATATATAAAGAAAAAAGAGAGAGAGAATTCTGTGATTTCATGCGCGGTGGAAAGAATTGATAAGCCAAGATAAAATTGCACACATTCTGTGTGGGTGTTTTTTGTGTGTGTTTTCATAGCCTTATCATTGAACTTCTCTGTTGTATTCACGGTAAAATTGCTTCGTCTCTTTTGTCGCTGGCGTGCGGGCTTTTTTTCGCGTGGAGTTGATGAGGAATTTACCCAATTACCGCTGACAATGAAATGAATACACATAAATATTGAATATTTGATGTTAATTTCCGTCACCTGAATGTCGTCATTTTCGGCAACATTTTTCCGTGCTCTTTTTTGTGTGGTTCTGAAAAATGTCTGAAATGATAAATAAAAGAGAAAAAGGAAGGGAAATAAGCGAGGATTATGCAATGGACTGGAGTAAATACACAGGAACATTTCGATGGGTTAACAGAAAACTATGAAAAGTCAAAATTGTAATTTTTCAAGAAAGAGAGTTGAAAATTTAGTGTTAATATCGCTTCGAAACTTGTCAAGTTTACCTCAAAATCCCCAAAATATCTTCTAAAAATTGTTTTCAGAATTTTTCACCTAATTTTATCGAAATTTCTTTACTAAAATATGGAAAAATGAAAATATTAATTTCCACAGTCGATTTTTAATCATTTTCGAGCACATTTTATCCAAAAAACTTCTAAATAATTTAATTTCTTCAAATTTTTCAAGTGAAAATAATGAAAAGATATGAAAAAAAAATATTTATTTAAAATCTAAGAATATTTTAGGAAAATACTTTGGTTTGGCACAATTTTCTTTCTACCCGGCGATTTGCAGGGTCGTGAAGGAAGTGTTCTAATGATGTTTCCTAATTGTTCGCCTGCAGATTCCGCCCCGCAGTCAAAACACGCATCGACGTTCAGCCGATCTGTGTCCCAGTTGGACATGTCTAGTCAACACAACAAGATCGTGCCGCTGGCCGCGATGAGCAATGCGCCGTTCGAGCAGACCTTCCGCATCACGGTGTGCCTGCCCAGGGATCAGCTGTACGTGGCGCGAGTGGGCGCCAAGACGCGCCTGGCGCAGCTCATGGAGCTCACGTGCGTGAATAAGCAGCTGGACCGGGACAAGTACGAGTTCCGCCATCCCATGGACAACTCGCAGGTGTTCAGCAATGATCTGACCATCGGCGAGGTGGGCCTCAATGAGATAAGGATGGTGCCGAAGACGGAGCGTCTGCACAATGGGAATAACTTCAATCTGGAGGACTTGAGCAAGATGCGACCGCCGGGCAACCGAGAGTCACTCTCCTCATCCGAGGTCAGCCGTCACTCGCGTCAGTTCCTCAAGACCACCTCCCCGTACAGCTCCACGAACTCCCTGAACTCCGTGGAGTCGTCGGGCAGTCGCACGCATCCGCCCGTGGCGCCGGTGAGGAAGAAGCGCGCCGCTCCGCGTCCGCCCAGTCAGAATTCCATCCCCGAGGGTCAGGAGGGACGCGTGGATGTGAACAGGAACAGCACAAAGACGCTGGAGGTGTTCAAGAAGCCACTGTCGCTGCCGGTGAAGAAGAACTTTCACGTGTCGTCGCCCAATCTGACGCTGGAGGAGGCGCACCAGCTGGTCACGAGCGCCGAGGTGCACCGCAACGGATCCCCCGTGGCGGAGCGCTACAACTCAGTAACGGACCTGCGAAGTCACGACGCGCCAATTGTGGAAGCCAACAACACACGAATAAGGCCAATGTCGATGCATATCATGAACGGAACACACCAGCTCAATGGCAAGGAGAGTCCAACGGACGCCAATCACTCCCGGACGTCCAGTGAGTCGTCAGAGATGCGGGATTCCCTGCCAGAACCGGTGCCAAGGAAGCGGCAAATTGCAGGTGAGCAAAATGAACTGAGCAATTGTGCTTTCTATCTCAATTTCTTATCTAATACAGCGAAAACAACTCGTTTGATTGCCTCTAAATTCATATCAAGAGCGAAATTGACGTTGTAAAGCCTTTTTTTCTCTTTCACTGGAGTTTTGAGTAAATTGCTCTGAGTTTCTTCGCAAACATTTTTTGCACACTTTGAAGATGTTCTCAAATGCGTGCGAGAAGAAACACTTGAGGCAGAGTTTAATGCATTTTCCTGTCTCTTTGCAGCCAAGAAGAAGAAGACAGCTCCTGCCCCGCCGCCCAGGACTGTTCCGCCAATTCCAACGCCCAGATCCATACCAAAAAGCGAGTCGTCGGCCGACGAGGAGGCCAAGAGTCAGGAGAGTGCGACCGTGCCGAACGGCAATGTGTCGAAGGTGATGCTGAATGTGGAGGCGCCGGTGGAGCACACGCTGGTGCTGGAGGAGCACAAGGAGTGCCTGGGCGTGAAGGTGGTGGAAGTGCAGCCCAACGGCCCCCTCTCCATTGCCATAAACAGCACGGTGATGCAGCAGCAGGAGAAGCAGGAGGAGCCCAAGGTGTCCATCACGGAGATCCGGCGCGAGAGTGCCAACAGTTCGGACGAGGACGACGTGCGCGTGAACATCTACAACATCAAGACGGGCAAGGTGATCGAGGCGGTGAATGAGGCGGTGAACGAGGCGCCACCGCCGCCGGCGGAAGTGCGCTCGCCATCGCCGCTGTGGACTTACACGCTGCCGGCGCCGCCGAAGTTTGCGGACGGCAACAGTTCGGCGCCGGACGACGTCACGGGCACGCTGAATGGGAATGTGTTCTACGATTACATGTCCGTGGACGACACGCGGACTGTGCAGTCGGACAGCAACACGACGCTCGTGTCCGATGTGGACATCAGGCCTGTGATCCGGGAGGTGATCGCCGATCCGTATGCCATCAACGATGTGGACACGGAGGATGGCTATCGCGTGGACAGGGAGAGTCTGCTGCAGTCGCTGGAGAAGCGCCGCGAGCGATACATTGAGAATGAGTTCGCGTTCCTCACGAAGATGGACGAGGAGGAAGAGCAGCAGCCGATGGTGCGGAAGCAGCAGTCGATTGAGGAGGGCAAGAGTGATGTGATTGGCGAGCTGAACAGTGTCATAAGTAGCAACAAAATCGAGAGTGTCATAAGGAAGGCCGAAGTGGTGGAGGAAATTGAGACGGCGAAGCCCAGCAATCTGTCCAATTTCCGCATTTCCACCTATTCCAACGGCACGGATGAGGAGAAACCGGCGCCGCTGCCGCATGTGAATGGCGTGAAGAAGGATGAGGAGGAGGAGGAGTTCAATGAGGAGGATTTCCTCAGGCGGGCGTCAATTGAGGAGAAACCGCGGGAGTTTGTGAAGAGACAATCACTGACAAACCGGAGGATTTCACCTGTCGCCCGATCGGATTCTTTCCACTCCACCAGGCAGGACTTCTCCGTGCCGTCGTCCTTCGCCAGCACGCCCAGGAGTTCGTCTTACATCTCTCTGCTGGCGGCGCAGAAGTTCGAGAGTCGCTCGCCAAGGCGACACTCCAGTGAGCTCAGCATCACAGACTCGCCCTCGCTGCAGAGCATCGAGGTGATGAAGTCGATTCTCTCGTCGTCGCGCAAGAACTTGTCCGAGCCTGAGATTGTGCAGAATGGACGGCCAGAGATTGCCACAGTGGTGATGGAGGAGAAGCCGGAAGAGCTGCGCGTTGAGGTTGTTGTGGTGCCAAAAGCGCCCGAGCAGGCGGTGCTGACGGTGAGGCAGGAGAAGGAGAAGGAGCAGGAGCAGCAGGAGGAGGATTGCCCGAAGAAGTGGGTGTACAAGGGACCGCCAAAGATCAATCTCTCCGCCTGGAGTGAGCGTCCCAAAGTGCAGGTGTGCATCAAATCCGACAGAGATTACTGCTTTGGCGGCAGCACGACTCTTCCGCGTGGCTTCCGGACGGATCCGCCGGCCAGTCTGCCAGTCGTGGAGACCAAGGAGCCCGAAGTGCCGAATCTCCACGTGCCCATCGTGCGTGGCGTGGAGTACAAGAAGAACGTGCAGCCGCCGGAGAAGCCAGACAAGCCCGAAGTGCGCCAGAAGCCCGTGAATCGCGTGAATAGCATCACCAGTGCCTCGCTAAATGCTCGTCCGCTGAGTCTGGGCAACTTCAGCAAGATTGCGCCGGTGGTGCGCGGCTTTAGGGCGGAAGAGGAGCCGCCAGTGCCGCTGAAGTCCATCTCGACAATCTCCCTCAATCGCACGGCGAGCGTGACGAAGATCAGTGCGCCCACGACGCCGCCGGCGGCGAGTGCAGAGAAGCCGGCGGTGGCGGTGTTTGAGCGACGCTCAGTGGCTGTCAATGGCCAGAAGCCGGCAGAGCCGATCTTCTCGCAGCACACGCTGCGCCGAACGGGACTGAAGGAGAAGATCCTGGCGCAGGAAGAGGCGCCGCCGCCGAAGATTCCGCCCGCAAAATCATTCCACACACGCCAGCAGGCCTTCAATCATTCCATCTCCTTGCCACCGCCGGCAACTCCGGCAGCTCCAGTAACTCCAGCGGCTCCCGCGCCGCCGCCACCGCCGCCCCAGCTGCGTCCCGTCGTGCGCGCCGTGGTGAAGAAGCAGATGTCCGCGCCTGAGATCGATCCGCGCGATCAGCTGCTGAACAGCATCAGGAACTTCAACAAGGGCAGCCTGAGGAAGATGTAAGAGAGTGGCTGAAAGTCCCCGGAAAATGTCTCGGTCGCGTCACAGCTTTAAATGGATGATCACGACGCGACTGGAGACATTTTCTGGCGCAAACAACGCACGCAATTTTAACTTATTCGAGGTGTTTTTGCTGTTATATTTCTCTGTAAATGTATTAATTTTTATCAAAAAAAAAAAAATGAAGAAATGTGTTAATATATCGTAATCCACTTTTCATTCCGTTGCATTCGAATTCCGTCGCCATGGCGATTTTGTTGGTGTCGTGACGTCATTGTGGCTCGTCAGCTGTGAAAGGCGTTTAAATACCCAGTAACATCAGCTGATGGAGATACTCAGCCGAAATGTGGTTTGCGTCTCGGTAAAGTCATGGTGTCTTTGCGCAGTGGTGCCATCTTATGGCAAACATGCTTTTTAGAGGTGAAAATATCCCAGAATGGCATGCGATCTGGTGAGGAAAAATCTTTTTGTGCATTCGCTTCCAGGCAATTCAAATTAATTAAAATTTTATACATTTCTTCTGGTTTTTTCCACTTTTTTCTCACAAACTGCGGCGAACGTCCTGATGATAGGAAGATTGTCTATAAAAACTGCTCTGAAGCTTTTTTCTCAGCTCGCTTTAAGACCGTTTCTTGTGTGTCACCGAAAGAGAAAAACACAAAAAAAGACCCAATTTTCCTACTTATTTCTCTGCAAATCAGTATAATACGTAGCAAATCCTCATTGACCCCAACAATTAATTACTTTTTTGACATTATTCATTCACTTAAGGGTCCTGAAAAGTACCATTTCTTCCATTTCCACGTCACAATTGAGATGCTTTGTTCACTACGAAGAGAATCGAGATTCCGCGCCAACCCGGAATTCTTGGGAAATCGGCCGTATAAAAGGCTGCGCAGAGCGCGAAATTCATCATTTTGCTTCGCGCTCTTGTCGAATGAACTTCGCATGAAACAAACACAGCAGTAAATGTTCAGCAAATGACTTTCAGCTGCTTTTTCCTTGACATTTTCAATACATTTTCCACTGTTTGGCGTCCTTTCAATTTAAGAAAAAAATCATTGTGTATAAAATATTAATTTTCCATACTTTATTGTCTCTCAAAAATACAGAAAAAGAACTCGAATAAAAAATAAATGTCTCTTGCACGCTTTCACGTGAAAAATCCCTGAAAAGTCCACGCAAGAGTCTGATTTTTCCTTAAGAAGAACATCAAATCAAGCACAGTTTCTTCGTCATGCAATTGAGCGCGGAATTTCCTCTCTTCAATTCACAACTACGCCCATGGAAAGTGCTCAGCAGAGTCTCTGGCGCGCATGTGATTCTCCTCTGGAACACCCTGTGGAGTGTGCGAGCGAGAAGAGGAGAGCGACTGACATCGGTGACGTCACGGGTGCTCGTCATGAGCCGTGCGGTGTAGTTTAGAAAAGGAAAGGAAGTGCAGAGATGGGAAAAGTGACAGAGAGCGCACGCCGTTGCAGTGGCGCGAGTGAGATGGCCGTACATCTTCGGCAGCTCTCGCCGCCACTCGGCGGCCCGCATTCGTCGGCCGATGGCACAGCCGAGGCTCTCCTTCCGTCGCGCCACTCGCAACGCTGTCATTCAGCGAGCTACCGCCGTGTGGAGCGCATCGCGTTTCCGTTGTGTATCATTTAATTAATTTTCTTGTACTGTGTACCAACTTTTGTGTAAATTCAGTGTGTGTGCGCTTTCTACCAGCCCCACGACGCCGCGTGTCGAGAGTTAAGAGTCTGAGCCAGGCACAGAACACCCAGGTACTCACGCACTGTGCCCTTTTTCTCGATTATGTGGACAAAATGGCAGACGGTGTTGTGTGTTTAGACGATGAAAAAGCGTCCAAATCCGAGACTTGTGTATTGAGTGCTTCGCAGCGCATCAGCGCTAGTGCTAATTTCAGAGTTTGTGCTGGAAGTGACACACCACGCAGCGTGGGAACACTGCAGCCGCCCATGCCACTCGTCACTGCCCAGAAGACACCCGGCCCGCCGCCCAGGGCCGCCCTGGCGCCCCCGGCCGTGCCCGGTGTGGCCCGGCGGACACTGCCGCCGCCCGCCGATCCCGCGGCCGACCAGGAGACGGACGAGTGCCGCAAGAAGCGCTGCACGGATCGCTATGACTCCTCCGAGTCCTCAGACAGGTATGAGAACTCCTCCGGCGATTTCCCCGGGGCCGTGTGCCCCCACATCTCAGCCTGGCTGGCACACAGACAGAGCACGGCTCTTGTGTTCCCATTTCGGGCCTTCGGGTCTCTCTCCATCTGCCTCGAATTACCAATTTTACGCGCGCACACACAGCCGGGATGCGACTGACGAGGGTCTGCGGCCGTCCTGGGATGTTGCTGAATTCCGTGCACACCTTTCCGTCCTCTCTTTTGAGCCCATCTTTCGGTCGGCAAACACGGGGCAATTGCCGCCGCGCGGAGGGCGAGCGAAAGAGAGAGAGAGGCCCGGAGAAGGGCGAGACGCGCGCGCCCCAAACTTGGGCCATTAATTTGTGTGGATGGAGATGAATCGGTCTGGAATGCACGGGGGGCGCTCCGGGCTGAGCTCCCGGTGGTGAACACCGAAGAGAGCGTCTGGGGTCCCAAAGGAGGCATTTAGTGACTGTGAGCGAGACAGATTTTGGCCAAATGCACTCTTTTTTCGTGGTGTTGCCTTTTGGGCTCCGGGAGGAAAACCAGACAAACCAGTTGGGAGAATTCCTAGGAATCGCTTGAACACTGTGGCTTCTCGCTCGCTCTCTCCGCAGCACACACTCAGACTCTCTCTCTCTCTCTCTCTCTCTCGGAATAGTCTCGATGATGGGCATTGTCATAAAGAAATCGTCGACCTTCTCTCTGCCGGGTCTCACGAGGAATTTTCGGAGAAATGCTCTATGCAAATTGCCCTGATCTTTCACTCTCACACATAGAGACTTTGCTGCTTCGGGAAACCTTGGAGAGATCCTATTCTCCACGAGCCTGTGAACGCCCTAAAATGGGCCGATTTCGCAGAAGGTGTTGTGGTAATTCTCAAAAAAAAAGAGTAAAACTTCACTGACATATCATCATATTACTTATCAGTAAATTCTATTTGAGTTTATGGTGCCCTTTTTTCCTCCGAAGCTCAACACTATACAATCTTATGTCTGCGTATCGTTTCATAAGTCGTCGTCGTCGTCGCTGTTTTTTTTTGCGCTCACGCCAGAGAGTGATAAAAGAGCGAAAGAGTATCGGGAATTTTATCGTACACTTGACAAGTTTATGGGCAGAAAAAAGCCGAGGGTTGTCGCGATTCAGTGACAGAAATTCTCGGTGATTGTAATTGAAAAAAAAGGGTGGGAGCCGGAATTGGGGCCACTTGAGGTCACCATGAGCACTGTTTCTGATGATCGAGCCACCGCGATAAGACACTGTCGATAGTGTACTATCATCCCAGTAATTAGGCTTTGTTAGTTTTGCCTCGACCTCACTCCATAGAGGGATGCAATTGGATATTTGTATATATACGGAAAGAGACGAGAGAATAAATTGTGCGAGTAAATAAGGCGCTGAGAGATGGAGTGTTTGCATGTATTTGATCGCAGTTTGTGAAATAAATAATAATGCTGCATAGCTTTGGAGGAGACGAAATATATGTACATTAATATATATTTTTTTTCTATATTACACTCAAGGCAGACAATACAAATATGCTCAAAGGGGTTTTTAATGTCTGATGACTTGAGTACACACAAGGTGTGCGCCTGAGAGTGAAATATTGGGATTTTGGGGGATCATGCGATGGGATTGGGTGGGCGAAAAGGGATTTACACCCCCCAAAATTGGGGTGCGCTGGATCCAATTTGTTCTGTTGACAATCCCCTCGTGCTGTATTTATTCACTGAACGGCGCCCCGCATGTTCATTCGATTGGCGAAATGCGATGACAGTCGCCATTCTTTGCGTGCGTGTGTCAGGAGAATCTGAATCCCTCCTGGATCTATCGTCAATTCTAGCCAGAAGACCTCTTAAATCTATCCTTTCCCCCTTGATCAATTGATGTGCACATTTACCAATACTTGCTGGAAAAATTTGGGAGTCGGGAGAACAATTTATGGCCCCGCCCATTTGCATGTCCAGCCCACTCGCTTGCTAAATGACTCTTGTGTGTGTTTTATTTTAGGCTCTTCTCGAATAATCTAAACCTATTTATGTAGCTTCAGCGTCCCTTTAAAGGACAGATTCTCCGTCTGTCGACCAACCATGAGTAGTTCTAAAGTCCACCTTTATATATAAGAACAGAGTGTGAAAGACAATTCCAGTGAAGCGTATGATTCAAAAGCAATCAATCCAGTGGTCAAGCACGTTGACCACTGGGCTAAGAATTCTCCGGAGCCTGGTCGATCCCCCATTCGACAGAAAGGAAGACACGTTGCATCCTAGTAACACATCTCTGTCAAAATCGTATACACTTTCGATTTTGGCACGTTTTTACTAGTCCTACTGACTGGCGTTCAATTCAGTCACTTGAGAAATATTGAAAACACAGTTTTCACACTCGTGTCACCCTCGTGAGCTTAATCAGACTACTATTTAAGCCAGAAACTTTCAGCATTCTAAACCCCTTCGGGAAGACATATGTACTATCGGTGTTCATCAATTAATCATACGCAGCTTTAACATCACAACACTCTCCGTGATGCCGAGTGAAACATATTGGGATAGGTGAGAGCACTGAGTGTCGGATGGTGTTCCTGTGAGTTGAACCTGCTGAATTTGGGATCCATCTCTGACTCTGCTGCTGTGTGCTTGAATATGTGGAAGGCGAGGGAAAGAAGGCAAAAACGAGAGGCTGATGGAGCTCTTTCGGATGGGTTCTTTTTTGGGCTGCTTAGAGGTGCACACAGATGAGTGTGTGTGTGAGTCGCGGGTCTTTTTTCTGGGTGCATTGCACTCCCCACACACCACGAGTGAGGCACAGAGCAAAACACGATGTTCGACCGCATTCACAATCCACCATCTCACTCTCGTTGGATTGGGAATTTGGGTGAGAGTGAATGAGATGCCGCGACTCGTCGTCATTCAATTCAAATTGGTGGACACACACATATCTTCTCCACCGCGCGCGCCCCCCTTTTCCCACCCCACACTCCAACTGTAGTGCCCTGGGCGCGCACAAGAGTGAGAAGGAGCGAAGCCCCAAACTGCAAGTGTGGGAATGAGTGGTGATGAGTGCAAGTCTCCTAATTCCTCCATTCTCATATGATTCTTCCTCTTCGCTTTTGCCCTCTCTTTCGCTCTCTCTCTCTCACTCTTTCTCTCTCTCTCTGGAGGCGAGGAATAAGATCGCGCACATCTCGACTGGGAAGCAGAAAACTTGAAACTTACACCGTGACACAGAAGAGGCTCTTTTCACACAAGGTCCTCGTCTTGGAGTGGAGAGATTCAGGGGTGAGATTATATTTTTATGCCCGCTTGAGGAGGACATTCTCTCTAGGGGTTGGTGTATGTGTGTGTGTGTGTGTGTGTGAAAGAGGGTGAAAAGACACCCCACATGCAGACGGGCCGAGCCCAATTCTGCGGGGCAGAAAAAATTCACGTAAAATCATATTGTTTAATCGCTGCATGTCACCATTTATCACTTTTTTTTCCTTCGCACGTCCGACTGAGCGATGGCGAAGAAAAAAATGTGAATGATAGAGTTCATGTTTTGTATCAAGTGTGTGTTTGTGTGGGAAAGAGTCGTCGCAAAAATGTATCACACATTAGAAGACTTTCAAGGTGGACTTATCTTGGGGAGAACAGAGTTCTTGGATTATTTTCTTATGGCAATTCTCCGTTTTTAGATTGTAATTTCTCCATGATTCCACAGAAGAGAAACAACCAAATATATACGCGCGAATTATTATTGAACTTGTGTGACCGTGACTGTGACAAAATAGAGTTTGGTGTTGAGCTCTGAATGTTGTATGCAAGAGAAGACAGGTAAACACGTGTGTAAATTTTGACGAATGAACGAGGGAAAATAAAATTGGCACAGAAAATGATGAGAAAGACGTACTTTTCACTTTCATTGAGTGCCACAGTTGTGCGCGCGAGAGAAAAAAAGCGACACACAATATATATATTTTGTGATGGTATAAAATGGAAAACACAGAGAGCGCGAGTCTTATCCGAAATTCAATTATGCAATCTGTGCGGGCTTTTTTGGCATTGCCATTGCCACGGTCGATGGGGAAGAGTGAGAGAGAAGAGTGAGTATTGCACAATGCCCTGCGAGAGATCAAGTACAAGGTTGAGGTGTGTGCATTGGTCACTTGGCCGAAAATACGACTTCTGCGAGAGCAACTCTCGGTGCAGCCAAGGTGTGTTGTTGTTGCTGTCGTAATGTGTCTCCCGAAGGGAGAAGAGAGAGAGGAGGAAGAATGTGGAGGTGCACAGAAGTGGTAATGGGAAAATTTATGTAATTCAATTTGTGTACAAGGTGAAGGTGAAGAAACAGTTTCTTCGCGGTCATTGAAGGGCCATCGTAGTTCATTTGGTGTCTTGTGTGTGTATGAAATAGAGAAGATTCTCACACTTCTCAATAATCCTCTTTCTCACCACACTTCCGTTCAGCTATAATTGATGAATTGTTCCCGTTGCCCCTTCACCAGAATTCCTTTTCTATATGGCATAGAGTGTGAAATGTCCTGTCGTGAATATATGGGAATCATTTCGAAAGCAGTCGCAGTTTTTAGGGGTTGTAATAGAGGAATATCAAAATTCATTGTTGTGACAATGTGTGTGCGTGTAAAAAATCTCCTATTCATTCGTCTAGCTTCTGATTAGTTGAATGTAAGAGATTTTATTAATTAATGGGGTGATTCCCACTAACATTAAGGAATGTTAAACTTCAAACATGTTAAAGTTTAACATCCCGAATGAATAAGGACAAACAACCATTTTGTATCGTCGCTAAAACAGTGATTATACATTATGTAAATGAAGGGAAATTGTTAAATTCGCCATAATTCCTAAAATACAAATAAATAATTAGTAAATCCGTGATAAAAAAAAAAATCTGCAAATATCCTTCATGTTCACGATTGAACATTAAAACAAGAGTCACAGATTGATCCGTTTTTGCAAGTTATTGTGCAGTTTCCGATCTGTCACTCTGATTTTGACACATTCTTG